TTAGCGTCATTGTGCAATATATGAACTGTGGATTACACTAGAGGCCACATCTGCATCTGACACCATATTAAGTGATTGAAAAAGTGTTGATTCAATTAGTGAATGAATGAATGAATGAATAAATGAGATACTCACTGAATGAGTGAATGTTAGTCGCTGAACTGCTTTTCTGTTGTCATTTAAAAGCTTTTCATTTCCTGATGAACTGTGGCCTATTTGACGAGATGTTTTGCTGTTAAACGGCAAATTATAAATAATTTAGTTATGAAAATATTGTTTCTATATGTATTAATCATTATATATATAATATATATGAGTCACTGGGCGTTGCAGGCACTGTTATTCAATGGTTCAGATCTTACCTCTCTGACAGGTCATTCAGGGTGTCTTGGAGGGGAAAGGTGTCCAACCTACAGCATCTAAACACTGGGATACCTCAAGGCTCTGTTCTTGGGCCACTTCTCTTCTCCATCTACACGCGACATCTCTAGGACCAGTCATTCAGAAACATGGATTCTCCTACCACCTACCACTGCTATGCTGATGATACCCAACTATACACCTCTCTTGTCACCCTGATGATCCCTCGGTTCCAGCTCGCATCTCAGCCTGCCTGTCGGACATTTCACACTGGATGAAAGATCATCATCTGCAGCTTAACCTTGCGAAAACAGAAATGCTTGGAGTTTCTTCCAACCCGACTCTGCACCACAGTTCCCTTTAAATAGCACAACATTGTGATTAACTATTCAGTACAATAAACTTTACTATGTGGTTCTAAAATACTATAGTATTTAGTTTAAATAACTATATTTTATTTGGGACCGTACTGCTGTTTATTTTTATCCAAACAGTGCCATAAGACCATTAAAAAGTCAACTTTACTTCATCATTTATCATTTCCTATAGATGTATGGAGAGTCAAGAATCCTAATACCAATCAGTTCTCTTGGATCAAACCTAATGGGTCATCTAGGTCACGAATAGATTTTTGGCTCATAACTGAGGAATATCTGGAGCTTGCGAACCAGGTTTTAATTTCTGCTGCACCATTGACAGATCACTGTTTGATTTCATTAACTTTGACACCAGTAAGAAAAAATACTACTAAGAAAGACTATTGGAAGTTCAATGCAGAACTTTTAAAGGATAAAGTTTATTGTAGTCAAATTAAAAACCTAATTAGTGAGGTTGAGAATGATTTCTCTTTAAATTCCAGTGGGATTAAATGGGAGTACTTTAAATTTGAAACAAGGGAAATTTCTATTCGGTTTGGTAAACAAAAGAGAAGCGATATATTGCAAAAAGAATTAAGAATAATTCAGGAAATTAATGATTGCTGTAACACACGATAAGGTTAAAGATGTGGAAAAGTGAATCACTCTTCAAGCTAAATTAGACAGCATGTATGTAATGAAAGCACAAGGAGCTTTTGTAAGGTCTCGGGCAAAATGGATGGAAGAAGGAGAGAAGAACACAGCTTACTTTTGTCAATTAGAAAAGAGGAGACAGCAAAGTAATGCAATTCATACTTTAGTTATTAAGGATACAATAATTACGGATTCTAAACTGATATCTGAGGAAATATATTCATTTTATAGTAATATTTATTCTTCATCATATTCTGAAAATAATGCTATTCAATTTCTAGAAAAGGTTAAAGATTATATCCCACAGATAGATATTGAATTTAAAGAAATGTGTGATGAGGATTTGAAGCTAGAGGAACTTAAAGCAGCTATTAAAAAAATGTGTTTGGGTAAGTCTCCTGGTCAGGATGGTTTGACTACTAACTTCTACAAAATTTTTTGGGAGGATATAAAACATTTGTTATTTGCAGCATTAAAATAGTGTTTTAATTCTAATACTTTACTTACAACTATGAAACAGGGCTTAATTATTCTTATTCCAAAGGCAAACAAAGATAAAAGAATTATTGAGAATTTGAGGCCGATTACTCTACTCAATGTGGATTATAAAATTCTTACATCTGCTATAGCTAATAGATTGAAATTTAGATTGAATCAAGTTATAAGTGAAACTCAGTCTGGTTTTATTAAAGAAAGGCTAATTCACAAAAACATTAGACTTGTCTTAGATCTAATTGATTATGGACATTTAATTAAAGAGGATGGGTTTGTTTTATTTCTTGACTTCTACAAGGCATTTGATACTGTAGAACATAATTTTATTTAGAATTTTTTTGGTTTTGGTCATAAATTTGGTAAAGTAATAGAAATGTTATATAAAGACATAAATAGTTCAGTATCATTACCATTTGGGACTTCGAAGAGGTTTAACATTAATAGAGGCATCAGACAAGGGGATCCAACAAGCCCATATTTATTTATTTTAGTAGCTGAATTATTAGCATTGTATGTTAAAAATTGCAGAGCTATCAGAACTTTGAATGTTTTAGGGAGTCAATTAATAATAAGTCAACTAGCAGACGATACCACCCTGTTTCTCAGTAATGCAGAGCAGATTTCAGTTGCCATTAATCTGGTGTCTCATTTTTCAAATGCTTCTGGTCTGCAATTGAATTTAAAAAAATGTGAGCTTATGGCAATCCATAACCATACCGAAACACAACTGTTCAATATTCCAGTTAAAAATGAGGTAAAATACTTGGGTGTTGTTATTTCTAAAGACCCTAAAGATAGGGAAAAAGCTAATTTGATGGATAATTTGATAAAAAGTCAAAAAATATTAAATTTGTGGGTTCAAAGGGATCTATCTATTTTTGGTAGAATTGTTTTACAAAAGTCAGAAGCACTTTCCAGGATGATTTACCCAGCTTTTTCTTTACGTATTTCTGATAGGTACGTTAAAAATCTGAATCAAATGCAATATAAATTTCTAGGGAAAAATAAGCATCATTTTCTAAGAAAATCAGATGTAGTGAAACCAATCATTGAAGGTGGATTGAATGTAATTGATTTTGATGTTATGAATGGTACCCTTAAGCTGAAGTGGCTTCAAACCTTCCTTCGACATAAACATTCTTTCTGGTTTAGGTTTTCTTCTAAATTTTTTGATTTCTTTGGGGGCATAGACTTTCTTTTAAGATGCGATTTTGAGCCATCAAAGTTAAAGTGTAAATTGTCATCTTTTCATAGTCAGGTATTACTGTATTGGAAGTTAATATACAAACATAATTTTTCGCCACATAGCTGTTCTTTGTGGAATAATAAGTATATACTTATTAAGAGGAAATCTGTGTTTTTTCAAGAGTGGATGGACAAAGGTGTTTGGTCTATTTTACAAATTTTGGATGGGGTTGGAAATTTCCTTAATTATGATGATTTTTGTGAAAAATACCATATTATTTGTACTTAGAAATTGTATTTGTCTTTGTTGAAAGCTATTCCTGGTGGTTTGGTTCAGCTAATCAAAGGGGAATTGGGTTATTCTTCTGTGATACCAAGATTGGGCAACCTTATTTATTTCTGGTATTAATTTTACTGGGCAGAGCTGTAATAATAAGACCTTAAGAAGGTTAGTAAATACACAGCTTTTCCCTTCTAAAGTTAAGAAAAGACCCCTTGTTTTAGATTTTCCAGAAGACAAGGTGGTTCGAATTCGAACAAGATTTCTCTCTTTTCCACTTCTACCAAAGGCAAAAGAAGTTCAGTTTAAAATTATTAACGATATTTATCCTTGTAATGAGTTCCTCAGACACAGATTTAATTTGGATTGTAACGTTTGTACCTTTTGTGAAGCAGACATAGAGTCATTGGAACATTTGTTTTATTTATGCAAATTTTCAAAAAAGTTATGGGATGACATTACTGTTTGGTTAAGATTAAAATATGTAATACCTGATTTTGATTTTAAAACTGTAAAATATTTATCTTTTTGTCAGAATTCTGAGCTGGAATTTTTGGTTAACAATATTGTGACTTTGGCAAACTATTTCATTCATAAATGCAGATTTTTTAATAACCCCCCCACTTTTCTGCGTTTCCACAAGGATTTAATGGTCTTCTTCAATTCCTTAAAGCTGATGAGACATAAAAAAGCCCTTAAACTGTGTAGTCTGTTAAAGGCATTTTTTGATGATTAACCCCTTTGTATTATAGTGCATTGTATTTTGCTTTTTATTTATTTCAATTTTATTATTTTTTTAATATATATTTATTTGTTTTTTTTATCTGTTTTTTGTGTGAATGCTGCTATTTGGACTTTCTAGATGAATAAGATGTTTCTTTGTTCGGTCATTTGTTCTTTTTTCTGTATGTTCTTATAAGATCTAATAATAAAAAATAAAAAAAACTATTGCACCATCAAAAAAAAAAAAACAACAACAACTTTAAAACGGAAAAACAAGTCGCCAATAGGTGGCAGCAAGAGACCGCTTTAATCGAGTGAAGCTTTAAGTGATTCATTCAGCCACGAATTACTGATTCAGTGACTCGCCCGACTTTATACAGAGTCCTGAATCATTCGTGTAAGGAAACGCCACTGTGTATTATTCAGAGATGTACAACTGTTCTGCTGTTTATTTTATTATTATCATAGTAATGATTTCACTATTATTAATGAGAAAATAACGCGGAAGTTTTTTAGCGCCTTGTCACGTGATCGTCAGCATCCATGGCAACGGTTCTTTTTGTGTTGTTTTGAACTTCGCTCTGTCATTGGCATCTGATCTCGGCGTCCTTCGTGGCAACTGATTCCCAGATTATTGATATTATTGATTGTTGGATACATCGATTGATCGCCTGCTGCTCCCTTCATTCAGGTTTGACCCTTGTTATCACACTGTGTTTTGTGTTTAGTATGTCTTGTGTTCATTACAGGTTTCAGAGTCGACTCACCTACGACTCGCTCCAGTTTGAGGGCCTCAACATCACTGTGGGAGAGCTGAAGCGGCAGATCATGAGGCGTGAGAGGCTGAAGTTCTGCCAGCTGAAGATCAGCAACGCCCAAACTGATAAAGGTGAGATGAGGAAAAGCCACTTAAACTATACTACACTAACATTAGATGTGTTATCAGACAGACTTGTAGAAGCTGTGATTTATTATCATGACTCTGATGGTGACATATAGTGATGTTTTGAGTGTTTTAAAATGCTAATGGCACTCAAAGTATACCATGGTAAATGATTATTACTATATTCAAACTTTATTTTGCTGTCAGAATACACAGATGATGATGCTCTCATCCCCAAAAACACATCTGTCCTCATCAGACGGGTCCCTGCGGCTGGACTGAAGACCTCCAACAGAAGATTTGTTGGGTAAGTCATGTGAAATGAGCGCAATCATCCTCTGATAGATGTTATATCAAGAGTTTGAGTCTGTCTGTGGTGTTTTAGTCACACAAGCTCCTTTGTTTTGCAGACATCAAGCTGGACCATCAGCTAAATCTTCTCAAACAGGTGATTCTTCACTCCTCTCACTGGAGCAGCTGTTGAAGGTATTGAACAACTGATTAATTCACCCCACTGTGCTGCTCTGTATTGAACTGCAGTGTTTGCATTTGAGGAGTCATAATGACATGAAATGCAGAATATCAATACTCAGTGTAAAACACCCCCCCCCCCCCACACACACACACACAGCTTCTTAAACAGACCAGTAAAATAAAATTCTAATGTGCAAATGCCTGTGAAACAGACTGAGAATTTGGCTGAGGCAAAGGCATCAGAGGAGGACAAGCTAAAAGCGGTGATGTACCAGTCCAGTCTGTGCTACTACTCCAGCAGGTGAGCGTTCAGACACTGACAGGTTTGGTTTGTGAGAAATGTTAGAGCTGATTCTCATGGTTCTGATGTTTATCAGTGAGGCCATGACACTGCTTGGGCTTCTTCCACCCAACTATGTCTGCTTTCACTGTGGGATCCCAGGACACCACATTAGGCACTGCCCCTCTAAAGGGGTAACTGGGTTTTGTAAGCTTATGGTTGCTGTGAACTTGAGCTCTTGTCTCCATCAGTCAGATTGTTTGCTCTGTCGTTTGACTGTCACTCATGAATTCACAGGGCAGCAGCTCTGCTCCGCATAAGCGCATCCGGAGGAGCACAGGGATTCCCCGCAGCTTCCTGTTGGAGGTGGACGACCCAAACCGAAAGGGAGTCATGATGGACGACAGCGGCAAATACGTCATTCCCATCATAGACGCGTGAGTAAACTGTACTTGGCATTGCAGCATGTTCTAGTGTTTGTGAAAATCTCACATTATGTCTGCTTGTGTGTGTTTGCGCTCGATCTGTTCAGTGAGGCCTATGCTGCTGAGAAGAAAAAGAGGTCATCCTTCTCCTGCCAGACCAAGCCGCTGCCCTCCTCTTCCTCAGCTGGTGCAGCATCTTCAGTCCAGGACGCCAGAGGGAAACGTTCCCGTTCCCCATCTCCACCAGAGACGCACGGAGACCAGAAGAGACCACCTCACTGAGAGACCTTCACCCAAGAGACCTGGAGCCGACGTGAGCACAGTGTATATATTGTACATAGTTTATGAATAAAACTGAATAAAGATTATAGCAGCATAAACTGTGGACTGGTTGACCTTCACACAATACAGAAACACAAAAGAAAATGATCAACACATTAAGATAGAAATGATGAACAAACATGCTGCGGGAGAACCAGTGTGCTGTCCTGCTCACAATCTAAAACTTTTAGTTTAAGTTTATTGAATGTTAATCAGAAAAAAATAAAACGCTGAACAGCTTTTATAGTTTTCAATAGTTTTCCTCATAAAGGGGAAAAGTTCAAGAAACATGGAAGAAAAGGCGGCATGTACATATTTTTAAAAATCCATTGGAATGACAAAGATGTGCATGCTCTAATAAGTCATTTTGGCTGTGTTCATATGGTGTCCTTTAGTGGTTTCTATTGCTGTTGTTGTTTACTGTTCAGCTGACTTAAGCAAATAGATTTCTTTAAAATGTAGCTATTAAGGGAAAAAATAATGTATCTTTATAAATATACAGGGGTGATGGCGTTCCGGCACCACGCCGGATTTCCGGCGTACTGTGGCTGCGGGAAAAAAAAAAAATCAGGTTCACGGATATTGATCTGTCATTTCTCTAGATTCACAGAATTCACTCACTGCTGAAAGCGCCGGATTGGTTTTTATTAAGTGCCATTTTGTGTGCTCGTGAATCATCTTTTGAGTGTAGACGCCATGTAAATAAAAGATTAATTGTGTAATTTAGAGAGCTTTATAAATTATAACGGATCTTTGTGAGATCTCTATGAACTAAGATTAGTGACGCTTTTTAGTGATAATAAGAGGAGCGTGCTTTGCACTTTCCAGGCTATAATCCATTCAGAATTTGTATGAAACTTTAGTTTTCGGCACATATACGCTGATATGTTTTGGGAATGACATCTGCATATTTACGCTGGGTTTATTCTCGAAATAACGGTGAAGCAATAGATGGGACAAAAATATATTTCCCCCTTCTCCTTAAACAACTTAAGCTGCTTTTCCACTATCGTGCCAAACCGTTCTAAGAACACTTCGGTACGGTTACGGTTGTTTCTCCACTGAGCCTGGAACGGCGCGGCACGATTACAAACCGTTCTCGGCACGGAATTCTCGGCACGGTTAGACAACCGTGCTGAACTGTGCTGACAGATTCTGTGTGTTGACGTCGCGACTCGGTTGCTAAGCTACCACAGCTGGCTCAGCAGAAGCGCGCAAGTCATCAGACATCCTCAATAAACTACAGTGCATTTAATATAAAATAATGATCCAGGTCTAAACGATACAGTTTGAAAAGGGTTTTAAAACAATAGAGCAGTCTCTGGCAGAGAAGTGAATAACTCATCACATTCTAACGAAGATATTTTATTCATTAAAGTTATTATTTTATTGACTTGAATACAGAACTACTTCTCCTGCTGAATGTGAGTTTATTGCACGCAGCGCTGTATTTCACAGCACAAAACTCGCTCTGATCCGGGAGAGACATGCCAACGACTTGCGCTGCTGACTTTTTTTCCCTGCTGCGCATCGAATAAAGCGAATAAAGTCACGCTTGGCCTCGTCGATGTCCAAATTCCCCAACAACATCACTATATCCATGGAACACGAACTTGCAGACTCTTTTAACAACGAGGAAATAATTGCACTTTTTAATTCAAAGCCAGGACAGCTTGTTAATACCGGCGAGACTACCTGAAGGACGGCGTGTTCGTGTTGTAATGTCGGCCGTTCAAAAGACATTGCCTGAAAGCTTTACGGAGCGGCACTGTAACTGTCCAAGGTACTGTTGTATGATTTATATTATAGCATATGCACTAATAAACAATTCAAAAGAATGAATGAATTAAATAAATATGGATTCTTAAATGTCAGTATTGCTTTTACTCAAAAAATATCAATACGTTTTGACAAATGTTTTTAAAAACAAAATGAGCAATTTTCATCATTTCAGCTATAGGCAATTATATGATTCAGTTATACATAAGTTATATGACATTTATGAGGCATGTAACATGTTTCTGTGTTTTTTTTTTTGTGGTGATCTTTAATATAGCTACGCAAATATTTTCTAAAACGTCTAGCAATATTTCGCCTACAGCTTGTTAGTTAATAATGAACACAAAAATAATTATAAAAATAAAAATAAAATGATCAAAATAAAAAGATAATAAAGCAGCATTTTAGTGCTTTATATGCTTTAAATCCTGCAATATATGTGTTGTTTTATATTCGTTTTTTTCACTTGCTGCATTCGTTATTTAATGTTTGAATAGTAAAACAAATAACAGCCATCGCTTAAATGGTTTCATTTTACCATCAAAATGTAGTATATTTTATATCATTATCAACTTTTGATATAAATACGCAGTGTAATTATGTAATTTATGTGCTGTGTTTTATTAGTGAAAGTGCCCGCTCACCTTTGACAAGGCCTGTCCAAAATGATATTTTTGCCACTATAATGCAAATGCACTATTATTGTTGTCTTATCATTGTTTTTTTCTGTTATGTTCAGAGATTTTAAATATTATTTATTTCCCCTCCAATTATTTTTAATCATCACGTTACATTTTGGTAATTTTCCCTCCAAATAAAATTTAGCCAGAGCTGCGCAACATATAAATAAATAAGGGTGCACATTTACCTATATTTAGCACCCCTATTTGATAGAGCGGCATAACAGTGTTTAGTCACATGGTTGCTTTTGCTTTTATGAAAAATAAATAAATAAATAGTTTCGGCTCTTATTTAACTTTAATTGAACAAAGGGAGCCGTTTACATTGCGTTACCAAGGCAACTACTGATGCGTTTTGTGTAATGTTTTAAAGAGCTTTGTCGCAGCACGACAGTGGAAAATGAAACCGTATCCGTGCTGTCTGGCCCGGTTTGGCACGGAATGGAACAGTTCTGTTTAAAGAACGATTCAGCACGATAGTGGAAAAGCGGCTTTAGTGTCTCAGCTATGAAATAGTTCAGTTTTGTATGTAGCCTAATGGCAAAGTGTTTATATTAAGTTTCTTTTTTTATTCAGCTTATTTAGAAAAACGTTTGGAGCATTTTTTTATTCGTTAAAAATACGTTTGTTTTTTTAACGAACAGCGCCCAGCGGAAGACATCATTGTCTGTTTGATCAGTTTGCCTTCTCAGATCATCACGACTTGCCTAAA